TTAAATGAAATTATATCTTCTTAAAGCTTAATGTTGTAGGAACATCTGTGGCTTAAGGCAATTACTGATAATACTAACACATATATGTATATTCTACTTAGAAGAACTTTATAAAAAAGTCCACAGAGAGTTAAAATACAATAAGCCGAGTTAAAATTGTATTATGAACAAAGAGTTGTTGCAGGTATTTATATTTTAAATAAGTTTAATTTAGACATGCAACAACCAAATATGGTATAGACCTATAGCGGCCGAGGACCTCCAGCCACCCTGCCCCCTGGCAGAGCCAAAGCCATGGAGCAATGGAGGGTGATTAGTTACAGCACCAAACTTATTTTATGTATAAGTGAAGGGGTGCATAGCAGAGAAGAACATAAGTACCCTTTAATTAGAAGCTAGAGGAAGATGGAAGGCCTGTGAGAAGAATAAATCAGTATTTTTGACCATGAGACCTTGCAGAGACTTTACTTTTATTATAATAGGAAACTGGCACAAGCAATTGCCTTCAGAGTCCTTGACAAGCTGTGATACACTCTTTGGTTCCCAGCTCACAGGAAAACTTTTGACATTCTATTGCAGCACTGCAACCTGCTTTCTGACCATTAAAATGGGAGAAATGAAATGATTCCTCTATGGTGGCTTTTCTTAGAAATATGGTCTACATTCTGCAGACGTGGACATTATATATAAAATGGCTTAGAAACTGGAACATAGTAAAATAAAGACTTACTGAAAGCAGTAGGAGGTTGAAATCTGTACAATATCCTTCATGTTTGAATCATTTGGAAGCTTTTTTGATTAAATAAACTACAAAGCTGTATATTGCTTTTAACATAAGAGTACAATTAAATATATCATGTATGAGTATAAACTTTTGTGTAGCTTAGATTTTTTTCTACGCTTATAAATTGTTGAATATTACTAATTAGCAATTACTAGAAATAAGGAAAAGGGGAGATACCTACAATTATCTTTAAAATTATTGATGCCCTTTCACTTCATATTTTCTCTACCTCATATAATGATTGCAAAATAATCATGGGCTTCAGATACACTTCTAGGCATATATCATCAATTTTCACAGGAATTACCACTCTAATGGTATTATTGTTGTTCTGTTATTTCAAGTATGTCATATTTACTTGGGCCTGATAAATTTTAGTTCTAAGACTTAGACTTTCTAACCAGGCTGTGGCCTCTGGTTCCTTTCCTGTGGCATGATTTCCTGCTCCTCAACACCAGCCACTGAGCTAAGAACAAGTTACATCACATAAAAGCACATATTCTGCTTGTGCTGCTGTGTGAAATCATCAGCAGCTGTGAAATAATCATTAGTTTTTTCGGATATTAGGAATTTTCATTTGGTTACTATGTCCAAATATGCTATTTCCCTGATGGAGAATTCTTATTAATGTTCAAGTTGCTCTTTGTCAATGATAATTTTCTCATTAAAAAAAACAAATAAAAAGGAAATTTCTAGGTATTAGGAGCCAAATCAAATTATGAGAAATAGTTTTGTGCATTCAGTATGGTATTAATGTAGTGAACCTGACGTGGCATTTTGGGAAGCACGTCTTGTATGTAACTAGTAACAATGATCAGATGATCTTTTACAACATATCTTTGTCCTGTTTGGCCTTTGACTTCCTTACCATACTCATTAATGAGAAATACTTTTTTCATCATGCTAATCTCAAATATGACTACTGCTGATAAATACTTAGGAACTATTGATGATTGTGATGTGCCCTTCAAACCTTTATTACTTCTGCATCTATGTATTGTGGCCTCCCTTCCCTACCTAATCAGGATTTCCTTTTTTGTAAGGGATTTACCTGAGAATAAACAACAGCATAATATGTAATGAAAGACAGCAACATTAGTAACAATAGCAATAGAAGTAGTTCCTTTCACTTAATATGGGCTAGGCATGGTTTTATGTCAGTGTTTTATGTACATTATATAGTTTAATCCCCAAGATGAAGGTACTGCTGTATGCCTTTTGGGAAATAAGGAAAAAAGACTACAGAAAGGCTAAATGATTTTTCAAGCTCTCAAGGAATGAAAAATGGCAGAGCCAGAATTTGTACATAAGTTGACCACATTCCAAAGAAAATATTATTAACCAAATAGCCAAAATTCTTCATCTCATTCAAATCATATTCTGCTCCAAGTTCTAAAGGGGTACTTACTGCTCTTCTCAATCAAACCAATCTTTTCATATTTAGTAGACCACTCAACCATTTCTCTCTTTCCTTTTTATTCCCCAAAGCTTCCATTTTCTTCAGTTATCACCCTCACCTCCATATTCAGAGGGGCATTCTAATATGTCCATGCCAGCGATGCATGACATTCTCCCCATAAATTATTGGTCTAGGGTTAGTCCCTTGAACTAAGTTAGGCCAATCAATGGGAAGAATTTATTGATACTGTTTTTTTTGTTGCATATTTAAAAGAATGGTGCTTTTCTGTTTTTCCTGAAGAATATGATAAAAGGAAGATGCCCTCCAATTGTCATAAGCAGCCATTTTTTGACTACGACAAATATCAGCAATAGGATTAAGTCGATACAGACACCTGCAGAACAAAGGGAGGAAAGAACCTGGTGCTGAAAGCACTCTTGACCCTCTAATAATAATAAGCCCAGAGGCCACTCTACTCCTTTTACTTCCCATTCATTTATTTTTGTCAGTAAGCTCTCTAAGTATCTTATTTTTAACAGAATTCTGAGGGCTAAAAATAGCATCTTTGATAGAACAGTAAAGTTGAAAGCCTGATATAGTTCCTGCACAGTGGCTCAAAATTTCTCATAAAATAATATTTTGTATTTGGAATGGCACCCCATTCTGTAGGATGAATGAGGTAAGGTTGACAGCAGGAAAATAAAAATTAGCCGAGCTCTGAAACTTGTTTTCTCAAGCAGAGCCCTACACTTAACTAACATACGTAGTAGCTCTTTAAGTCTCAGATAAGGCTATAGCTACAAAATCATGTTTTAATGAAGTTTCAAAAACACCAAACTTATTAATAGATTTTTGGTCCCTCTCAGCAAATGATGACTAAGTGACACCTGCAAAAGCTGTTGGGAATCAAAATTTCAAACTCCCCTTGACTTCTTTTTATGAGGCTTCATTTCAACATTGGCACAAACTAGGACACTCAGCGTCTTCCTAGTGTAACCTGGGTCCACTTGCTTCATTGGCCCTTGGCCATTGTCAAGCTTTGTTGAAATATTCTGTTCTAAGGGTCCTGGATACATCATAGAACAGAGTTTAGTTGCTGTGTTAAAGTGGTACATTCTACAACTCTGCTTCATAACCTTCTTTTAAATCATTTGATTTGGGTATTTTCTGATATTTAAATGCAAAAGCATCCTAACTGATACTAAATTTTCAAAAAGTTAGCTTAATGTAAAATACTTTGTTATTCACTGCACACTTCACCTGTTGCTCTGTCGCTTTGCAGTGGCCTTTAGTTCCTCCAGATCCCCAGGTTTCTCCCTTTGGACATACGGCCTGTGTTGCTACAAACTTGAGTCTGTTGTTAGCATTCTGCCCAACGCCTGCTGCACTTCATCCTGTGATCTTCACTATTCACCTGCATCCAAACTCCAGCTTCCCGGTGATTCTTTTGAGTTCACCAATCCTTACACTTGATGTTACCCCAACCTGGCTGTTACTTACATGCCAAGTTACCCCTCATAGACCTCCTTGTCTAGACACAAAAATATTTCAATCATTTTGGAAATTAAGTAATAATTTTAAGAAAAAACAAAACAAAAGCAGATAACTTCTAGGTGAAAGACTGATTAGCTAACTCAATTGCCTTAGGTGTTTGATCACCTTAGCTATACTCACATTATGTTATACTCACGACCCTAAAGTAGGGGTTAGGCCAAATGGGAGCACGGACAGTACCTACTTATGTATTTTTTAAATTGCACTATGGATTTTAAAAGATGTGTGTGATTTACAGTGCTAACAACAGATATTTAATTTGACTTGTTTGTTTTGCTCTACAGAGCAAGAGCTTTGCAAAATAAAATTTTGGTTATAGAAATGCTACCTAGTGTAGCTATGCTTGGTTTCCTTGATACTTCAAGTCTTAAAAGTTATCTTTTTGGTCTCTTGTCCTCTTCAAGTCTCTTTTCTTTCTAAATAGTAAGCTTTATCTTTCATAAGATCAATAGACCACTCTACTCTTTTTCCTACTATAAATTCTTAATTTATCCTTTCATTGTGGAATATTTCCTTATGACTTTATTATAATTAATAATTAAATTTCTAAAAGACCCCCTTTTGAGTCTCACATTAAAAATACACTACAGTTAAAAACATGATAAAATAAACATTAAAAAGGAATAAAATATTAAAAAGCTCAGCAAACTGGTATCAATAAACCAATAAGACAGAACTTGTCTCATCGAGGTTGCTGAGAAGGACTCTCTGTAGTCACATTTGATGGTTTCTTCTTTTCTTTTTCTTTCTTTTTTTTTTTTTTGTTCCTTATTTTCAAAGGCAGTTGCTTCTGTTTAAATGGTTTCTGCTCTCTTGGCTATTATTGGTCATGCTGTCAGTTTGAGGGATGAATGGAAAATAGTTTCTGGACTTTAAAATATTTGAATGAAGAGCCAGCTCCTCAAACAAAATCACTTAGTAAATGTACTTAACAACCTTTTAATAGTTCAATCCGGTGACTCTATGTCTGGCTCTATTTGACTAGATCTAATTTAACTGATGCCTTCAGCATAATTAATCAGATAATTCACTCTAACAAATGCCTCATGTCATGCCTCGACAACAGGCCTAAAGAGACGTGTTTTGGTATCTTGGGTCTTGCTTGCCATTCACATGACCACCTAGTTTTATTTTTTTTAGATAAAAAATGGAAGTATAAATGCTGTTTAATTGGATATCTGATAAGTTTGAGCTGATAAATGAGATAATCCAAAGTCAACAGGAAAAAATTCAGAAAATTAAAGGAAAAAATAGCATGTTTGGGTTGTCTCAGAATTATGGGTACAATATTTTGCCACGGAAAACTATTAATGACACACCACAGAACTGTAAGCATAAGTTTACCTGTAAGTTAGTCCAGTGACATTTATTTGTATCATTTGAAATTAAAAGTAAAATAGAAAAAAAAGTTTGTCAACCAAGCCAATTCAAACATTCAGAAATTATAACTTCTTATATATATATATATAGCCCTAATGATGTCATTCATCTATTTCTTCAGTCACTGTAGTAAATTCCTGTTCTTCTATTTTTATCCTTGCATCTCCACTTTTATTCCATCTTGAGAGTCAGACCATCAGTATTTTTCCTGCACAGTATGATAGTCTGGAAACACAAATAACTGAAATTATCGACCCATTTAATAAATAAATATAACAAATATTCTGTCTGTGTATATATATACATTCTTCTGCTTCTTTGGTGATAATATATATACGAAAGGAAGACTGAACTGAATGAAGAGAGCTGCAGGTGACTGATCGGGTAAAATCGATAGGGTAAAATCTGACATAGAAACTAGAAAGCCTGGCTTTGGAAAACACCTCTCAAAGTGAATGAATAAAGGATTGAAAAAACAAGTAGAAAGGCATTTCAATATTGAGATGTTTTTAGGAAAGTTATGTTTAAAATTTTTTTTTTAGGAAACTGTTTTACCTGATCTGTGATATCTAGCCAGCAAACTTTAAAGTTAAATGCAATATAGGTAAAGGAGTCAGGGTTAAAAGTGTGGGCAACATTTTAAGCATTCATGAAACAGTTTATCAATTCATTGTTTTACTCTTCTTAATCACATAAAAAAATGCATATAATAGTAAACAATTTTATTGTATTTTATAATAACAATAATAATTATTTTCTATGTATATTAACTTGCTTAATTTTCAAAACAACTTTATGATATAGGTATAAAAAACAGACTCAGAGAGACTGAGATATTGAGTAATTAGTTGCACATTGTATAAACTTCATGTGATAGTTTGTGAAAGTGATTATATTATGATCAGGCTAAAAATCAGCTCCACTGCCACCAAGCCTAACACTCTTATTTAGAGTACAAATTTAAGGGTGAAATCCATGAATGAAAACCTTTCCTCTAAAATTTAACATGAAATTCAGGAAAATAATTAATTCAGCAAAAGTGAAGGAAGAGAATGAAGCAATAAAGAAAAAATATGAAATATATAAATAATGTCATCTTTTAACCAATGCAAGTAATTTATATTTTGATACTAAAAACAGTCCTTTTGACTTCCATGTTATTGTTGGCATGCATTGTGACCTGACTTAACATCTGTTAACATGAATGGATGCTAGGTGCTCCTTCACTTTTCCTCTAATCCCACGTGGTCACGTCTACACAGGAATTTAGTTCCAGCAATACCTATCCTTACTTTCTTTTGAAAAATCAAATATTTCTTTTCTACTAGATCATCTTCATATCATGGTGAATTTCGTCCTGCTCCAGGTCTCAGTCTTTGATCCACTTATGTTCTGCATCTTCTTTCACTTGTTTAGAAATCTCATCTAACCTCATAGGTGCAAATACTAACCGAGGATGGCACCTCACAATTTATGTTTCTAGCCTAGTCCTCTACCCTGAACTCCATACCAACATATCCAATTGTAAATGGTAGGATTTTCTTTCTTATGGCTGAGTAATATTCCATTGTGTAGTCATTGCAAACATATTTTGTTCAAAACTTAACTTCAGATCCACTCATCCCAAATTTTGCTTTCTTTCTAATCTCAGTTTATAGCAACACCACTTATTTCCTTTATCAGGCAAAACCTTGGAATAATCTTGACTTCACTCTTTCTTTGAAATTGTACATCTAGTGCATTACTACAACTCCATTGTTTGTCTCTTCAAAACAAATCTGGTACCTGGACAATTTTTTTTATCTATGCCAAAATCGATCTGATCTGAGCTCCCACCGGTGTTAGCCCAGACAATCAGAATGGCCTTCACTTGTCTAACAAAGTCTACCCTTGCCTTGCATAATTTTGTTTTAATAAATAATGAGAGTGGCCATACCAAAATATGTGTCATATCAAGTGCTTCATCAGATCAAATACTTCAATGGCTTTATATGATTCAGGAAAAAACAAACAAACCTTATAATGCCTTACAAATAAGGTGATGATATGATCCATCATCAAAACAGGGACATTTTTTAAAATGAAAAGGGGGTTCAGTCATAACTGTACTAGTCAACAGGTATGAACTAAGACTGTCTTGGACAAACCTGGACATGGTCACCCTACGTCAAAGGTCTTATGCAATATGGTCCCATGTTAGCCCTTTAACCTCATTTCCATCTGTTAACCTGGTCTGCTGTGACCGTACTGGCCTCCTCGCCTTTTCTCCAAAATGCAAGGGGCACTTGCACATTTTCACTGGCTGTTCTGCTTGCCTGCAACACATGTCTCCAATATATCCATACAATTCATCCTTTATCTACTTCAGATCTTCCCTCAAATGTCATCTTCTAAGTCAGCTCTCTCTCTAACCTGTTTAACATGCGAATTAATCATACTTCCCATTTCTCTTGATGCTTTGTTTCCTCCATAGCATTTATCATCATCAGATAAACTATATTTTTTTGCTTATTGTTTGTGCTCCGCTTTTAAAATATAAGTCCCACTTGGAGAAGTATTTTTGTGTTGGTACTTTTGTCCTAATTCATTTGTAACTTAATTTTATAAGGAAGTGCTTATTAAACTTTATACCTGGCACAAACTTGTCTGGATTTTCTCTCTCCCAACTGAGTATGACTCATTTTTATACCAACTCATGGGCATAATTAAGAACATAAGAAGATGTTACATTAAGAAAATATTTTGTCAGCATATTTCATAGTTTTCAGTGAGAAGATTGAGGGAGGGGAAAACGTTAATGCAGTCTCTTAGTCCCAACATGGTGCTAGGAAATGAAATTTCTGGATAGGCTTTTAAAAGTTACCATAGCTAATAAACGGTTACCCTGTTCTTCAATTTGATCTTACACCCCAAATATCTCCAGACATATAAAGCCTTAGGATTTATTACAAATGATATCAATACTCATGTGATCTCTGCATACATAACTGAGAAGCTAGGAAAACAGGTACTTTCTTAAAATTCAGATTCCTTATTAAAATCCTCACCATGTCTCCCATTTGTTCAGGTTCTCTAGTCTAAAAACCACTTATGGGAGTAGCATCAATTGTTGCTGATGCCTTCTAAGAAAACTGTCCTTTTTTCCTGTGGGTCCCTAAAGATGAAAATTTTACATACTTATATCAGTAAACATGCTATTTATACCAAAACAATGTCATGATTTTTCACTTCAGTGAATGGCAGGGTCCAAAGTCTCTCAAACAGAGCTCCTTCTACTTGCATCTCTACCTTTTTCTCTCCATAAAGGGATCACAATAATGCTTTGTCCAGATAAAAGAACAGCAGCCGGGACATTCACTTACTTATAATTTTCTGTCCATCCTTTTGAGTTAAAAGAAACATACCTTGCATTTAAACTTTGGAAAACAAGCATAATAAGAATACCTGTTACCCAAATTTGGTCACCAAATTTTGACTTTGGCTAATGTCATTCTGTGACATTTGGTAATGTTAAATTGGCCTCCTTATTTCTTGAAGATATCTTCTAAAGTAATAATTACTGCATGATGAATAAAACATTTTCTATACACTCATAATTAATTTTGATTATTTCTCCATCTTCATATTTATTTAAAATGATATTCATTTTATGATGGGTTAACCCATGAAGAAAGAATAATTATTTTTGTCTATAACATGTTTCAAAAAGATGTGTTGTGACATCCCATTGTTATTGTGTTAAGATCTTTAAGAATCCTGTCTCTAATCTCCAAGTTTAAAAAAAATGACAAGTATTCTTGGTCAAACTTCTAAAATACTTAACCATCAAAGGAGTACAATTTGTGTTTTTGATGCAATATGCAGTTAAAGACATTTCCCATACACATTGTTGTTCCTTATTTTATAGTTTAATCAAAAGAAATATACATGAATCTTCTGATATTCAAATTTTGCCTAAATACTCATACATATAGTTATTTATAATAGAATGTCCATTTCAGATATTCTAAGAATTTTGTGAACAGCAAATATTTCTCACTGCAGTATTATCTGATAGAATGAGCAGGAACTTGGGATTTAAAATGACTGAGGTGTTATTATTATTGCCTCTCAACTCATTAGCTATATAATTTTTTTAAATTAAACTTATCTCCCTCTGTCTGGATTTAAACCTCTGGAAATGGGAAATATGCTTATGATCATAAATATTTGACCCAGCAATACTTGTGCAAGAGAAAGGAGAATGCTGTTAGTAGGATGAAGGCTTCTAAGATATATAGTATATCTTAGGAATGAGAGTGTACTGGTGTCCCAAATAGACTACAATCAAGTCCTAGAGAACCGTGAAGAGGCCAGGCAAGTGACTGAAACTTTATATTGTGTATGGTTCACTCTGTATTTTTCTTCAACTCTAGAGTGTCTTTGTTTACTTAGGAGTTCATGTGAAAAGAAAAATGGTCATTTAAAAATGTCACTTGTAGATTTTATCAATTCACAAATATATTTCAACTTAAGTTAAACTTTCCTTGCTTCAATTTCAAACTCCCAGTTGATACATAATTACTGACCCAGTTTTATGGACATGGTGACTCCTGTACTAATCCCCTGGGACCAAAGTATTAGCATCAGATTGTATAGAGTCGGCTTCTGCTGCAATCGAATGAACAGAGTGAAACCGGGTGAGAAAATATATTTAAATGGGAAAGGACTTCTAACTTTTAAATAGTTGCTCATTATAGTCAGAGAGCTATAGTCATTGAGATTTGAAAATTCTAGGCACAGAGTCTTGCTAGTAGTTGACACTTACATTTACTTGTAAAAACATTACCATTCCAGTGAGGTGTCTCTCCTGTGTCACCCTGCCAAAGTGTAATAATAGTTCCTTTAGAAGGTTTATAGACCCAGCAAACCAAACTGGCACAAGTTTAAAATCCTACAGAAATTAGATGTTACTGAACGGACTAAGAACAGGAGTAGAGGACTATAATAGATATAAATGACATGGTAGCTCAGAAGACCATGTTTGTGAGCGCATTTTGAAAAGCTCCTGCCGATCCATAAAACAATTAATTATTTAGAAGTGTTGTTTGAACCGAGGCTGGAAGTCTTATGGTATTAAGGAGATACAGAGAAAGAGAAATACTATTTCATAAATGGTATCATAAATGAAGCCAAATTGGTAATAGTAGTCTGACTTCCAGGTTAATTTGGCTAAGAAATATGCATTCATACAACAATTACTCTGATGTAGAGATTGCTTATATTGTCAACATCCAGTTCTCATCATTTTAGGCAATCAACTAAACTGCATTTCACAAATCCTATTGCTTCAAGATGGAAGCATATGGCTCTTTTCTCAATGAGGGTGGAAATAATATAGGAAATATCTAATCCTGGCCATATAATGTACTATAGACCATGATCTTGGTATGTCTAGGTCTTTGAGGGTCTGGAGGTCAGTAGAGACACAAAGCACAATAAATCTCACCTTAGTTCTCTGCTTATGGCAGTCGTCACCCAAGGAAACAGCTCTCAGAAACACCTTAGCTTGTATAGAAAATAAACCATTATTATGTTAAACCAGTGAAATTTGAGTTGCTTGTTTCTGTATCTAATGTTCATCCTGGGTATTATAGAAAGATCGTAATGTAAAGTAGATTAAAACTCAAAAATTAGAACAAAAAATTAAGAGACGGAAAATATGAGCAAAAACAGAACAAGAGAAATCAAACAGATCTAAGATCAGACCAATAGGAGTCACCAGATTGGTAAACAGAAGAATATGGAAGGAATCATCAAAATAATAATAATAATAATAGACCACTAAGAACCAATCCATATATGAAAAAGACCCTTGTCAAGTCTTATTACTATAATGTTTCATAACAGTGACAATTAAGAACTTCAAAGAATTTTGAGAGGAATAAACATTTCTCAGAAAAGAACTAACCTCAGAAGAAAAAACATTAGTTGGCAGGTACCCTTTCTCAGGTTTCTACCAAAGAAAAAAGGAGAGAAATCTTCTAAGGGAAAGATGGGAGATCTAACACTCAGAGGCTATTGTTTAGGGTACCTGAAGACAAAGGATCCAAGATGCAGCCTGCACCGTCTGGAGATGGAGACCCAGAGATGGCTTACCCCTCTCAGACTAGAGATGGGTGGCCGAGGTAGGAAGGCCACTGTAAAAAATGGACCTCATATATCATCTGATATGCTTAAGTGTTTTTAAAAAATGATAATGGATGTGGGAACATTTGGGAAAATTAATAAATTGTACAAAGAAAACTAAGAAAATTAAAAAGTGAGAGTTATTAATTCTTGAGAAAATGTGCAAGAAAGGAATTATCTTATATTCCTCTAATAAAATGTTATTTGCATAGTCATAACAACATAAACATTGTTTATCAATTTACCACGTGTATGACATAACTCACGTTGTAAGGAATAATGTATGTGTGTGTGTGTGTGTGTGTGTGTGTGTGTTTGTAGAGGACATTAAAGTGAACAAAACCCTCAATTGCCATAGATAATAGGAAGTCAATGACTAATGTCTAAATCTAAATTAAAAAGTAAACATGTAAGAAATAACTTAGAAAAATGGAAGTAAGTGTTTGATGATATATCCAGAGAATTAAAAATCGTTGTGCCTGGGGAAAAAATTTTCAGACTACGGAAGAGTGAGACAAGATATCGCTATTTTTCTTGTCAGCACTACTTCATGTCCCTATCTGTAACAAACATTCTCAGTGAATAAACTATATACAGGTACATATGATATAAGCTGTATTTCTATTTATTTATTTATTTAATTTCAGTTATAAGATAAAATATGCTCTCAGTGTATACATATAACCCCAATGTAATGGATCTGTCTAGTGGTTTGAATGATAGAACCATAGGGAGTATGTATTTTGTAATACAACTCTGTTTCCTTCATTCTTTTGGCAAAGATCATATCCAGATACATTTAGTCAGAATCATTTCTCAGACAGTTTTTTTACTTAGGAAGTCATTAATTTTCTAAAATGTTCTAGGTGACTAGTCATTAAACAAACCCTTTCACCCAATTCAGGAAAAGACTGGCTTCTTCTTCAGTGGTAAATGACAAGTCTTCCTAGCAGTATAAGATAACACCTGGAACATCCTGATTCACTATAAAGTTTTAAAAACCCTGCTGGGTAAGATTTTATCAGTAGGTTAACTGGCTAAACGAAGTAAATGAACTATTTATTTTCATCGCCAAAGATTTATGTGATAATTTCTTTCCTACCAACACCTCATAGCTTTCATTGAAAATTAATAAAATGGAAAAAAGTACAAAAAAATTACCCAGTATTCTATCCCCCTGCAACAGCTACTATTGACATTTTGACATTATTACCTTCCATTTGTCCTTAAAGTTTTAACTGTAGGATTTTATATTGTATACATATTTTTTATTTTTTTCACTTAGCATTATACCATAAGAAATTATCCTTATGAAAATAATTTTTGTGTCACTTTAATGACTACAAAACATGTCATCATATCAGTAATAACTCTATTTAACATTTTTACTTAATGTTTGTAGGTAAATATGGTAAATCAACCTGATTAGGCCAAACTGCCGTCATGGCAGCTGTCAGCCATTCCAGGAGTACCTGATTCCCTGAGCATGATGAGCACTTTGCAACCACTGCCAGAGGGAAGGGTGAGTTGTCAGGAAAGCCAGTCTACTCATCTCAGTACACAACTTAACAATGATTTTCCCTACAGTGCAGCTGCTACATGGCCACTCAGGGCCACTAAGCAGCCTTCTGTCTCACGGAGGGCTAATTTTGCAGCTTCTGGTGTCTCCACCCTTCCCCAGTTCTGGTGAAGGCCCCACCCCTCTAGGAGGTGCTTTACCACAGACCAATTCCCCCCTAGGGGCTCCCAAATTGGAAGCCCCACAGCTGGGGAGATAACAACAGGTGAAGCTTCACCCTCTGCCACTGAATCCACTGCGGCCTCCCCACCTTCCACAGGGGGTTTCCAGGCATCTCCCCACCATCTCTAGGGGCAGCCCGCCCAAAGGTCACACCCATTTAGACAGATTTCAGGTTCAGAGGTCCTGCCAACTACAGCCAGATGTAACTCTGGGGAGAGGAAATCCTAGGGCAAAATACCTAGCTGAAAGCGAAATCAGTCAAAGGGAAAAGTAAAGTTTAAAACCCTTTTATTGCTTACAAAAAAGCCATCTGGTATCTCTCTCTCTCCTGCCATGGCAGAAGCAAGTGAATCCCCAACCCCCCAACCTCTCAGGTTCATATAAGCCTTCAGTCACCCAAGTAATTACCTATTGATATGGAGATGAACTACTTCTTTCCACCCTTTAGAAATACCTGTCGATATGGAGATGCACTAAAGCCAGGTGAGAGATTCTGGAAATAATGATATTTTACCCACAATGTTATACATTTTTTGATACCACATATAATGTTGAATTGAATGTATATTAATGCATTTGAGAATAAAGGACAAAATTATCAGAATTGGAATTAGCTCATTTTCAAAATGAAAATTGATACACACTTTCCGAAATCCATATATCTGATTACTAATACCAAGACCTTTCCCTGAGCATGCTTTGACTGTGGCAAGTGGAAGAACAAGGCTATTAGTTTCCCATATGTTATGGTTTCATTTATGTCTCCAAAAAAGATAAGTTAAAGCCTTAATCCCCAGTGCCTCAAAATGTATGAGGTATAAATAGTTAAGATTGTTAGAAAGATAGATATGAGCAGCTGGGGAAGGGAAAGAAGAGGCTCAAGGAAAAAACACTGTCCAAACTCTGCCCAGGTAGAGGGTTCCATGTGAAGACAACAAGGGCTTTTTAGGAAGGTAACTTCTCTGCCTATTGGGACCAGGCCAAATTGGTCCAAACCTGATCCCAGCATGGGTATTATCAAACAAAACTAAGGTCAGCCCAATACACGCCTCATCCTGGAAAAGGACATGCGCACTGAGAGGGATGGCTGCAGGTGGACCTGTCAATCAAATAACCCCACCCTGTCAAGCAAAGGGGTGCCTCCCAGCCAGAATGCAATATATGGGCTTCCCGCCTAACAATAGAGGCCTTTGTCTACCTTGACTCTGGCCTGTTCCTCCTTTGGAGTGTATTCAAATAAAACTCACTCTGCTTCGCTACTGTGTCTCTGCCTTTAAATTCTTTGTTTTGGAGGGTGGAAGACTTGAGAGGAACAAAGTCAGCCTGTAACATAAGTCATACTGAGTAGAATGGGAGCCCTGTATGGCTGGTTTCCTTACAAGCAAAGAAGAGACACACGAGGGGAGAATGTCCTATAACGAAGGAGGTACAGACTGAAATTCTGCAGCTACTCAGGCCGAGGAACGTTGTAAGGCATCAGAAATTTCATTATGAAGAGGCCAGGAAGGAGTCTCTCATATAGGTTTCAGAGGGAGCATGTTCCTGCTGACATCTTAACTTTGGATTTCTAACCTCCAGAACTGAGAGACAATAAATTTCTGTTGTTTAAAGACATCTAAATTGTGGTAATTTATTATGGTAATCCTAGGAAATGAATACAACATACACCTCCCCCACACACACACACATGATCCCTACCCCACCTTCTCCTAACTCATAGTATTCCTCTATTCATTTTTCCTTCTTCAGATACTTTTCTGTCTGTATTACTAATTCAAATAAATCCTTTATATTTCAGTTTTCAAGCTGACCTGCCTCTGGCCACCGAAGACACTGTTCATGCAGAAGTTCAGTTGCTTTAAAGCCTCTGTGTTTTTTTTCCTAGTTTACTATGTGAGGGTTTCAAGTCTTTCTTTATATTTTCTCATCTTCTAAGAAAGGACCCAATAGCTTTATTTTTTTAAGTCTCTTCACTTAACCTCTTCATATTTAATCACCTCTCACTTTTGGATATCTTTCCTCATTTCCCTATAGTCTAGCCTAAATTTATTTAAACATTGATTGAATTGACATTATAAAAATAGCTCACATTTACAGTTTAATTATTTGACTTCCTTCTAATAAAAAAGAGAAATATTTACATTAAGTTAGAATGTATATAGGAGGTCCTAGGATGTTTATTATGAAGAGGACTCTTTCTAACATGAAGGGAAAACACCTTACAGCTACTAGGAATCAGTACTGAGCTTACTGAGTTATAGTTGGATTAACTTGTTACTTACATTTGTTGAAACCTTCATTTTTTTCAACTGAGATGTTCAAAAATAAATTTAATAATAAACTGTCACATGATTCATTTCCATTGATTCATAGCTAAGTTTAGAGAACTGAGTAAGCTGATTAAAATAACTTGCTATTGTATTTGTCATCCAGGCCTATAAATGTTGTAGTAGTTTAATAATTCCTTTTGCTCAGATTGAAACTAAGCCTTTAGTTTTCCCTCCTTCAGGAGTGGTACAAGGCAGAGGGAGAAGGTATTCCCTCTATAAATTTTATCAGACCAGAAGGCCTTGCTTACAATCTAAGTATATGTAGTCATGTTCAAGAAAAATGCCTCATCAAGACAAGCTTCTTAGTCCCTT